ATGGAAAGAAATCAATTCCAGCGTAGTCTCAAGCGTGAGGATCAACCAGTCCCTTTGGAAATTCAATCATAAGCCCTAATAAAGTTCACCTCATTGGCTCCAGTAATTCTGTCTCTGGGAGTTTATCCTAAAGAAACAATCAAATGTACAGAAGAGTTCTAAACACAAAAGTGTCCATCAATATATCTTTCATAAGAGTAAAGACTGTCAAAACCTGCATTATGGGAGCACAGTTTTAAAATTCAAGTACACGTGCCTAAAAATATTATACAGCAATTTAAAATCATATTAATAAGGAAAATGTCCATAACATAACATAACATCAAAAGGGAATAGTCAGGTTATAAAATTCACTATATATTATAAACAGTTTTGGGTCAGGCTTGGTGACTCAGCCTGTAATCCCAGCACTTTGGAATGCCGAGGCAAATAGATTGCCTGAGCCCACCGGTTTGAGACCAGCCTGGGCAACTTGGCAAGACCTCGTCTCTACAATAAAATTAAAAATAGTCAGGCGTGGTAGTGCACATCTATAGTTCTGGGCTATTTAGAAGGCTGAGGCGGAAGGATTGCCAGAGCCCAGAAAGTCAAAGCTGGGGTGCATGCCACTGCACTCCAGCCTAGGCAAGGGAGTGAGACTCCAACTCAAAAAAAAAAAAAAAGAAGAAGAAAAAAAAAAACCCTACAGTTCTGTAAGAAGAAATTTGCACAAGAAAAAAGACTGAAAGAATGTAAGTCAAAATGTTATCAGTAGAAAGCTTCATATGAAAAGCACATGTATGGGCAATTATTTTTCTTCTTTTGACTTTTCTGTGCTTTCCAAATTTTCTTTCAATGAGCACATATTACTTGTGAAAGGGAAATATGGATTTGTGTTTTAAATAGTACCTAAATGACTAAATGACTAAAATCATTTCTAAATTATATGTGCTGAGAAAATCTAAAACAATGTATCAATTTCTCTATGCAAGGATGAGCCTCAGAAAATCATAATTAGGAAGTTAAATGTGCAATATGTATCTATGTGGGTATACCTACATTCACCCAGGAAGCAAAATGTAAGAGCAGACTTCTAACCACACGGGCAGGGCGGGGGACAGGAATGGCATGGGGGTGGGTCCCTCCAAGCTTCCACCGCCCTTATAGTCATTCCACAGACTCCGAACAAGTACAGCTTCACAACGGATCTCCTCCAAAGCAAGACTGCAGCCCTAAAGCCTCCTTAAATAGGAATTGTGAGCTCTTACTCTCCAAGATCACTGGAACATTTTAGTGCAGAGGCCCCCAACCCCCAGGCCACGGGTCAATACCAGTGGTGTACTGGGCCACACAGCAGGTCGTGAGCAGCAAGTGAGCCAGCAAATGGAGCTGAGATGTGATGCTATATATTTCATTGTATGCTACAATGTTATAATAATAGAAATAAAGTACACAATAAATGGAAAGGGCTTGAAACATCCCGAAACCATCACCCCCGCCCCACCAACCAGTTCATGGAAAAATTGTCTTGCATAAAACTGGTCCCTGATGCCAAAAAGGGTGGAGACCACTGTTTTAGTGAATGTATAGCCAAATGCAGAGTGACTTTTGTCTTGTTCTGACAAGATTTAAAGCCAAGGAAAAATGCCTCAACCCCTTCACCATTTAGGATGTCTAAGATAAGATGCCCAAGAGAATCAGCAAAATCGCTGTATCTTCAATTCCAGAAACTAAGACATTAGCATCTTTCGCTACCCTGGAATGAGAACAGATGAAAATAAAAAACCCTAATAACAGCTAACCAACTATGGGGGTGGGTACTAGTCTCCTGCTCACCTCCTTCTGAGATGATAGCTTCACCCAGCTGCTTAGGCAGGAGCAGAGCACCAGTCCTTTCATCCTGCATTATGGAACACACTTAAAAGCTATGTGGGCAAGCAAAGATGAACAGAGCAGACGAAAATTAAAATTGACGAGGAAAGCCTACAGGGGCCACTTCACAAGAGGGCCAGGGATGTGCATCTCCTCTGCCTCTCTGCTGGCTGCTTCCTAGAAAGAAAACCACTGTCTGGCAGGCACTCGTGTGCCCAGCTGTGCACCTGCTATTCAACACGTGACAGCCTCCTTAGAATGGGAAGATTAGGCAACTTGATTCTCCCTACTGAAGGAACAGGACGTATCAGGTCCTTTTTTTCCAGAACTGACTGTCTCAACTCCCCCCACCCAGCCTCTCTTAAATACTCCTCTGTGTAGGCACTGGCTCTCAGTACATCCCAGATTTTAATGTGCACCAAGCATCTAGGATCTTGCCAGGCTGGGGGTCCTGATTCCGCAGTGATGCCAAGACCCATGACATCCCATCCTCTGAGGGTGAGTACCAGGTGGTGGGGAAATCCCCTCAGTGAGTGCCACATGCCATCAAGGTCACACAGGGCTAGAAGATCTGTAAAGGCCACTGATACCTGCTGCTCGATATGACCCCTGGCCATATCGAGTGTGCCCTGCAGCGAGCAATACCAGTGTGACAGCACCGGCCTGAGGTGTTATGAAGACCCACAGAGGAAACACAGGTAAGGCCCATGGTGTCCACCACACTGGGAGCTAAAGCGTCAGCCATGGTTGTTATTTCATTACTGCTGCCAGCATGGCTGTCATTTGGGTAGGCTGATACAATGGGGAAGAGGCCAACTGGTATGACAATGGGTTCTTGGGAAAACGAAGCAAAAGTGAGCTAAAAGAGAGGACTTTCAGTGTTCTTACCACAAAGAAATGATAAGCATTTGAGGTGATGCATAGGCTAATTAGCCTGATTTGATCATTCCACTATGTATAAATGTATCAAAACATCCCATTGCATCCCACAAATATACAGAATTATCTGTCAATTAAATAAAATAGAACTTTAAAAAATATGGCCTGGGAGGCGTAACAAGAGAGTGGCCATGAGCAAAGGGTGTGAGGAGACGACACAGATCCAGACACAGCCCGTGACAGGCTTCAGTCGCAATCGTTGTGAGGGCTGCCATCTACTTGGGCTTAATATGTGAGCCGCACTGTCCTCCCTACCAAGAATCCTCTAGGCAGACTTTCCAAAGAACTCCAGGCTGGACTGGCTCCCTCCCCCAAGTGGGAGCAGAGGGGCCACGAACACCCAGAGTGGTGACGACGATGTGGCTGCGGCGGGCCAGTGCTGGGTGCAGGAGGGCAAGGAGGCGGCACCAGATCCTGGCCTCCCTGGGGCACCCTTGCCGCCTCCACCCTGGGCCAGGTCCCTCTACTGAGCTAACCACCAGAGAGAGGAAAGGCCACGGCTGGAGTCTCAGGAGTCAGGCTGGAGGAGGTGACAACTGTGGGACCTTTCACCTCTAGGGCTGGCCTGACAGGAGCTGAGGAGACTCCTACCTGGAGGCTGAGCTGGTATGAATTCCTAGCTCCCTTGTCAAGAGCTTCCTTCCACACACCTCCTGGATGCCCCTCCCCCCCAGCTGATTCCCAGCACACACCCGGCCACTCCACAGGTGCTCATGGTTGCCTCCCTCTGCCCAGGTGGGGAGGGGACGGTCCACGAAGGAGCCACTCCTGAGACCAACACAGCTGAAGTATACACGACAGGGATGGATCAGAGGGCAGGGTTTCCAGCCAGCTGGGCTGAAGTCTGAAGACGGTTCTGGAGAGCTCGGCTTTGCCTGTGCTCGTTCTTTGGCACCGACATCTAAATCACTGCCAAGCTCCTGTTCAGTGGGCCATGCCTCTCCCCACCCCAACCCTGGGATGGAAGCACTGAGGTCGAGGATCCCATGGCGCAGAGGCAGGTGCCAGAGGTCTCAGGCGGTCACCCACAGGTACAGGCAAGGACACGGGACAGCCAAGGTTCGGGCCGGGCCGTGGCGACCCGACTCCATCGTGTAAGACCACGTGGAAAAAAAAAACGGCCTGAAGGACTCGAAGACCCCAGGTTGTCTTCCTCTGTGGGAAGAGCAAAGGGGTCATCTTCACCTTCAGATGAGCAAAGGGATTGAAAAGGGGACCGAGGACACGTCTAGGACTGAAGTCCAGTCCGGGGAGAAAGCTGACTCCACTCCTAGCCTGAGTGGTTCCCGTGCTGAGCCTCGACCCTCTCCACGCTTCCCGACAGCCTGCCCTGCTCTCGCCACAAAAATCTGAAAAGCTGCCAACTCTTAGGACTCGCGGGACCAGAGAACAGGTTACTTCCTGTGACATCTTCCACCACCTTTCTTTTTAAGTAAATTAAAAAAAAAAAAAACACAAAAAAACCCCCAAACCTCTCCATTTTTTCCCAACCTCTTTTTATGTCAACACTTTTCTCCCCTGTCTGTGAGGTGCCTCGACTTCACGGTGCCCAGTCTGTAAACAAGGAGCCAGGGCCCAGAGGATTAAGTGGTTTCCTGGGATGTTAAGTGAATCCGACAAAGAGCCAGGATCTGTGTTTCAGGCCGTGGCTCTGGGCACCAGCCAGACTGAGTGGTTTCCTGCAAAATGTGCAAGTGAGCGGTCAGGGGTAAACCAGCCTGAAGTTGGAATGTCCAGCTTCTCCCCCGACTCACACACAGTATGTCCGAGGAAATACACCGGAGATGGGGAGGGAGAAGGCACACATCAGCAATTACTTTCTTCCTCAGAGGATCTTCCCAGATCTATGAAGGGGGGGAAAAAATACAATTCCCCCAAAACCTGCATTCCCTATAACTGCTCCGCAAGTGACATATGTCCTTAGAGAACAGAGACGGGGGATCTCTACAAAGACTATAGATATTGTGTGTATCCTATCACTCAGCAGAACAGAATGAAAGATGCCACTTTCTCAAATTCCTATTTGGAGGAGAAAGGAAAACACACTATTGTTCTGTCAAAATCAGTCACCACAGCAACCCAAGCCCTTGACTCCGGGTGGCATTCGGCTTGTATATGCAAGTATCCATTCGATTCTTGCAGGCGTTGGGTACCTTATGGCCCACCAAGAGTTGAAACAAAGCCTCCAGCTGGGAGTGGAGGAGTCTCACCTGTGAAAGCATTTGTGGCCTGGAAACCAGCTTCCTGCATACTGCTCCCCAGACAAGCCTGTGCTCCGACTCTTGAGCGGTCCTGTCCAAGGAAACTACCTGGGCGAGGCCTCAGGTCACTTCCATCTTAGCCTGGCCGAGTCCATCACTCTGGGCCGGCCTCCGGGAGCATCCGCGGCCCACCTGCCCGGCTCCCCCCGCGGGCAGGCGGCACCCGGACGGTGCAGTCTGGGGCGCTCCCGTCAGCCGTCCAGCCAGGGCGTGGAGGCCATGGCGCGCGGGCGAGGGGCTGTCACACTGAGACCCGCTGGCCTGCTCAGAGGGAGGGTGGCCCTGGCCGCGCCGCCACCAGCATCCTGCAGGGTCGCAGCCTCACCGGACGTCGCCGGGTCTGGGCCGCGGCTCTCCACGCTCAGCCTCTGAAATTAAAAAGAAAGAGATCACTTACCTGATGCCCGGTAGAACCGTTAAGATCGATAGGTCTACAGAGGCCAGAAAGGAAGTGCCACCCCGAGCCGTGGCCATGACCCTGACCCGCTTGTGGAGTGGGGAGCTCACAGGGGCCAGCGGTGGGTAGGAGGGGTGCGCCGCCTGCATCGACACCAGGGCATGCACTCCTCCAGCACGGTTCACGTACACTTCCCGGGTTACTCCAAGGTCACAGACACCCTAAGGAACAAAATTCTTTCCCAAGCGGGTTCCTGGGCCTTAGATGTGGGGTCAGCGGTGCATGGCCACTACAGTCAGCACTCCAAGGAAGGGGCATCGGGGCTTGGATGGAGCCATTTTAAAAAATGATTCCCAGGGCCCATGGAGGCGGCCACACTTGTCATCCAAGCACTTTGAGAGGCCGAGGCCAAAGGGTGGCTTGAATCCAAGAGTTCAAGACCAGCCTTGGCAACATAGTGACAGCCACATTTCGGCAAAAAATAAAAAATGAGCCGGTAATCCCAGTTACTCAGGAGGCTGAGGCGGGATGATCCCTTGAGCCCGATGGTCCAAGGCTACAGAGAGTATGATGGCGTCGCTGCACTCCAGCCTGGGTGACAGAGTGAGACTGTCCCAAAATAAATAAAATTAAAAAGTGATTCTTAAAGAGGAAAACAAAGGCCCGCATTAGTGTTTTAATAACAGGAAAAGTAAACGTAATCTATAAACTGCTCCGTATAGTACATAATAATAAAAGCATTTTACAAAACACTTTTCAGAAATTTCAATGCTATACAGGAAATAATGCTGACAACAAGAATGTCAGAAGCCCAACAGAGCAGACTTCTAAAACATAATCCTGAATATCAATCACTAATATCGAGGAAAAGAAACTTTTTTTTTTTCTATTATCACTTCGTCCTAATCAATTTATAACCAATTTCTAAAAAATGTAAACTTACTTCTTTTTTCCACTATCAAACTAAAGAAAAGAAAAAGAACTGAAGAGTACAGAGCATAGAGCACAGAACACAGAACGGAACCCCATTACAACCTTGTGTTGCTATAAATATAAATACACGACAGTCAAGTCAAACATCACTGATACAGACTCATTATAAGGAATGCCTTATACACTAATGAAGTTCTTTAGTTGCACTAAGAAATTCAACTGCATCACTTCCATGTATCTACAGTAACAATCTCAGTTAATAAGACACGGCCCAGCAGGAGTCCTTAAGCTTAATGAATAGGTTAAAAGTTTAATTTAAAAATCAATTATTTATGTAAATGGTGGTTTTGAAGTGCTTGAAAATGTGAGAAAACATTTTTCTATGAATTTAAACATTCCATTTTAAAGTGACCAGACCACACATGATCAGCATCCCTGGGTCCCACATAAACTTCTAAAGTAGATTAATCGAGTGGACTCTAGTCATTAACTTCAGGAAATGGCCCACCAAGGTTTTTCTTTGCTCTTTGCTAGAATGCTTTTGGTGCAAAAATACAGTAGACTTCATTTGTTCTCTCTCTGAACTCAGAGAAAACGGAACTGTGGTGAGGTTTTCGTTGTAGTTCTTGCATTATTTTGGACTACTTGTTTATTTTATTTTGCTTCATTCTAGAAATTATCACTTTTTAAAAAATCACCGTATCATAAAGGGATACAATTAACAGAATGAAGAGACAACCCAGATGAGGAGAAAATATTTGTAAACCATACATCTGAAAAGAGGGTAATATCCAAAATATATAAGGAACTCACCTCAATAGCAAGAAAACAAACAACCCAATTTTTAAAAGGACAAGGGACCTGAATAGATATTTCTCAAAAGAACACATATGCTGGTGAAATTGTTCCCCTGAAGGCAAATTTGGCAGCATTAAAAAAAGAAAAAAAACAGAACACATACGAATGGCTGACAAACACATGAAGAAATGTTCACCATCTCTAGTCGTCAGGGAAATGCAAATTAAAACCACAACAAGATATCACCTCACAGCTATTATGATGGCTATTATCAAAAAGATGAAAGATAGAAAGTGCTGGTGAGGATGTGGAGAAAAGGGAACATTTGCACACTGTTGTGAGAATGTAAATCAGTAAAGTCATTTTGGAAAATAAGTATAGAGGTTCCTCAAAAAACTAAAAATAGGATTACCAGATGATCCAGCAATGCCAATTCTGGGTAGAGGACCGAACAAAGTGAAATCTGTATGTTGAAAAGATGTCTAAACACCCATGTTCATTCAGCATTATTCACAATAATCAAGATTTGAAGGCAACCAAAGTAGTCATCAATAGATGAATGGATAACGTGGTATACATGCACAATGGACTACTATACAGCCTTTAACAAGAAGGGAATTCTATTATTTGGGATAGCATGAATGAACCTGGAGGACATTATGCTGAATGAAATAAGCCAGGTACAGAAATAAAAATACCAAATGATCTCACTTATATACGGAAACTGAAAGAGTCGATCTCATAGGAAGAGAGCAGAAAGGAGGGGACAGAAGGAAAAGGGAAATGTTGATCACAGGGTACAAAATTTCAGTTAGACTGAAAGAATGAATTTTGATAATATACTGCATGGCATGATGACCACAGTTAATAATAATGTATTGTATGTTTTAAAACTGCTAAAGGAGGCCGGGCTGGGTGGCTCAGCCTGTAATCCGTGCTTTGGGAGGCCGAGGTGAGTGAATTGCCTGAGCCCGCGGGTTCGAGACCCGCCTGGGCAACTTGGCGAGACCTCATCTCTACAATAAATCAAAAAATCAACCGGGTGTGGTAGCGCGCGCCTGTAGTTCCAGCTACGTGGAAGGCTGAGGCGGAAGGATCGCTGGAGCCCAGCAGGTCGAGGCTGTGGTGGCCGGGAGCGGCCACTGCACTCCAGTCTGGGTGACTGAGGGAGACTCCAACTCAAAAAAAAAAAAAAACAAAACTGCTAAAGGAATAGATTTTTAACTTGCTTGCCACAAAAAAATAAGTGGGTGAGGTGGTGAATATGTTTGTTTGTTTTTTTTGAGTCGAACTCTCACTCTGTCACGGTCACCCCAGCATCGACTTGCTGGACTCCGGCGATCCTTCTGCCTCAGCCTTCCAAGTTGCCGGAACCACAGGTGTGGGCTACCACACCCAGCTTATTTTTTATTTATTGTAGAGACGAGGTCTCGCTAAGTTGGCCGGACTGGTCTTGAACCTGTGGGCTTAGGCAATCCACTCGCCTTGGCCTCCCAAATTGCTGGGATGACAGGCTGAGCCACCGAGCCCAGCCAGAATGTTAATTTATTGGTTAACTTATTCTACCATGCATACATATACAAAAAGATCACATTATATACCACATCTATGCAATTATTATTTGTCAAAAAAGTAAAAAAATAAATTTATGATATATCCCACATCTCAGATGGCTATAGTAAAGAATGAGGCTAATATGGATAGAAATAGAAGAAACAGTCAAACTCCCAAGTCTTCTTTTACTGGCTTTTATCACCCCCACCAGTTCCTAACCTCATTTCTAAAAGAGAAGTTGGGGCCAGCGGGCCAGCTTTGCATAACCCCTCTTGAGGAGTCTAAGGCGTGCTCCTGGCCAGAATTTGCAGGGCATGATGTGTGCGGTTCCTACATACACTCTCAGTCACCTCACATGCAATTTTCTAGTGACCATGAAATCCTAAGTGCTATAAAATGTTTCCTTCCAGACAGGCTCAGTAGCTCAGCCTGTAATCCCAGTGCTTTGGGGAGGCTGAGGCGAATGGATTGCCTGAGTCTGCAGGTTCGAGACCTACCCGGGCAACTTGGCGAGACCTCGTCTCTACAATAAATCAAAAATTAGCCAGGCATGGTAGCAGTCCTTGTTCTGCTCAGTGAGGGACCCCAACCATCCCTAATGGGCCAGAACCCAGCAGTGCTCAATAAGAAAGGAGACACATAGATTGGACAGGGGTGGGTGATTCGTACCCACAGAAAACTCAGCTGGCCAGCCTGGTCAGCAGATGTCCATGGGACCCATTCTTGATGAGACATCTGGTTGGTTTAGGAACCAACCAGCAATGGACATGGTGAAGCTGGACCTCTGTGGAGCAAACATGGGCATTTAAAAAATGGAGAAGCGGCCGGGCTCGGTGGCTCAGCCTGTAATCTCAGCACTTTGGGAGGCCGAGGTGAGTGGACTGTCTGAGCCCACGGGTTCGAGACCCGCCTGGGCAACTTGGTGAGACCTCATCTCTACAATAAATCAAAAGTTAGCCGGGCGTGGTAGCGCGCGCCTGTAGTTCCAGCGACTCGGAAGGCTGAGGCGGAAGGATCGCCGGAGCCCAGCAGGTCGAGGCTGAGGTGGCCGGGAGCGGCCACTGCACTCCCGTCTGAGTGACAGAGTGAGACTCCAACTCAAAAAAATAAATACATAAATGAAAATAAATAAATAAAAAATAACAAGTGGAGAAGCTGACCAAATGGTATCTGTCTGCTGGTCCCTCCCACCTCCTGCTCTTGTGCACCTCCTGCCTGTGAGCTGCCACTCAGCCTTCCAGTCTCAACCCAAACAACCCTCCTCCGAGAGGCTTCCCCCATCCTTCCCAGCCCAAGTCCAGACCCTGCTACTCAGCCTCACAGCACCCTGGCCGGCTTCCCAACACTGTTCACAGTCGCGACTCCATGTGGGTATCCTGACGGTGCAACGCCTCTCTCCCCCACAAGCACGAGGAGGGCAGAGGCGGTGACCGGCTGATTCTCTGGGTCTCCTTGACACCCCA